ATTAAGTATGGATTTTTAAAAATTTGCATGTGATTGGATTTCTTTTCTATAGCTTTATTATTTTCATTTCATTCTGTTAAATCATGACTTGAGAATATGATCAGAATTCCAATTTACATTATTGAGTTCATCTCAGGCTGCTATAACCTCTCTTTTTCTTTCTCCTTTTCCTCCCTCCTCATGTTTTTCTTCTTTTGAAGCAGCTGTGGTGGGATCCGAGACCATTTCCCAGACTTTAAATGTAGTATTTCCTGACATCTGTCAAATCTATATAAATATTTTCCTTTTTTTTGGTTTCTCTTTCTCTTTCTCTGTGTCTCTCTCTTCTTGGTGACTGGAGGGAGAAGTTTTCAGGTCTCTGATTCCTACATTGGCCTGATATCTGTAGATTTTAGAGACATACTGATCTAAGCCATTTGGTCAAGTATTAATGGGATAATTGGCATCATTTGTAGTGTGCCCTTGGGTGGTGACTTATCCTCTCCATACTTCACCTTTATCATTGTAAACAAGGAGCAATGAATATGCATCTTTCGACAGGGTTGTGGCGAGAATTATAAATAATTTTTAAATGGTTCATTACATTATTAGCTTTGAAACTGGCAGATATGTAACATATATACTTTAGTGAATATCAAATATTTTCTTTAAAAGAACAGAATAATGTTTATGCGGTAATTGCTGTGGTCTGAATATAGTAGGTGTTCTATAAGTGGTAGCTACTATTGTGGTTATTACCAGTTTGAATCATGAGCCTATGTACGAGAAGAAATGTCTGAAACAAGCATTTAAAGGAATCGGTTCATTTATATTACATCATAGGATACCCAAAGATGCATAAATAGTAACTTGCCAGCCCAGTAAGCTTAGAGTTTAGCTGTGGCAGCACATAAACACAGCTAGCAAACCAGGGCATATCCAGTCTGTACTCTAGACTAGTACTTCCCAAACTCTTATGCCATAGTACACGGAGAAAATAAGAGTATTTGTCCAGTGTAATAGAGCAGGTGGGAGGGGACCTGGGGGGTGTCTGTCTATATGGGGCTTGAATTTTTTAATCACTATTTTTTTCTTTATCTTATGTAATTACAACAAAACATAGTGTTTTAACATTTTTATTAAATGTTAAATTGATATAAAACTTCCAAATAAATGGTTTTAATTTTTCCCATGACAAATTAAGCTTGCTTTTATTAATATGCATTTTAAAATATTATTCTTTCTGCTTGAAATGACTGCAAACAATCTCTGATCACAATATTTTAATGATGGTATCTTCAAATTCTTAATCCTAGACCAGAAACCCTTCACACAGAGATGATTACAACTTTTAAACATTTTTATAACAATTCAAAATTTTCTACAGTTGGAATTATATTTAAGAAATCTGATAGCACTTCCTTTTTATCACTAAATATTGGATTGTTTGTAAAAATAAGAATGGATTTCAAATCCAACTGAACTTCTTAATGTAAAGGTTTCAGAATAATGATGATGCTCTAATTTGTAAGATATACATTCTTAGAGAAGACACTCTTTAGCCAGCTAGTAAACCACTAAAAATCTCATCAGCCACAAGTGAAAAGAGATATCCAGTATATGTGAAAGGAGAACTTGGGGCTGCTACTTGGAGCTCCATCCAACACGATCCACAGTTGGGCCTCCTCAGTGGTTCCCTACCTGATTGACCACACCTGGTGCTATTCCCTGGCTCCTTGAACATCTAGAATGGTGTCTCCTCCAGCAGCTAGCTCCGTGTGTCCTTACCCATGGGACAGTCATCTCACGCATCCAAGGCTGGGGACTGAACATAATCCACAGCCCCATGTGTTTGCACACGGCAGATCGGTCATTAAAAGTTATGGTGGTAGAGATTGTTGTAGTGCCTTTGATTATGTATGTCTTTACCTGCACAATGGATTACAGTTTCATAAAAGTTGAGACATACCTAAATAAGCATGCCATACCTAAGCATGCCTGCCATTTATATATGTGAAGTAGTAGGAGATATGTTTTCAAACTATTGATATGGAGGCCAGAACTTGAAGATTGGTGGTGAGGGAGGTGACTTGAGAGTATCAGTTTGAAACTGCTTATTCTATAAATGATCTCTCACGTGGCATGTGATCCAGAGATAAAAGGGGGGCTTCCTTCTGGTCAAATAGAGAATATAGGTATATCTATGTAAACCCCCACCTTCTTCCAGTGCAAATAAGTCAGAGCCCATGACCTCCAATGGTAGACAGAGTCCCATCTCCCCTGAGAACCAGTGCAGCCCGAGAGCACATTCTTCTGGGGACCCAGGCTCCTCACCCTCTTGCCCTGTGTCATGTTCTTGTCAATCATCATTTTTGGTCCTTCATTTCTATTTCTTTAGAATTTAGAATGAATTCTTTAATTTAAATTCTTTAGAATTTAGAATTTAGGACTAACAATATTGGCATTTTAGAGCAGGAACTAGACTTTCCTTTGGAATAAAACAAGTATATTCTTTGGTAAAACAAAAATAAAGGGCTGAGCTATTTTGGGGACAACAGGCCCTACTCTGAAGTCTCAGGTTTAGATTAAGGTTATATTTTCTCTGAAGGAGTGGGCAAAGCCCCCACATGTACTTTCTTCACTTGAAGGATGTATTTTTTTATTACCTTCCAAGGTTATTGAATAGATTAAATACAGATTTCCTTGGAGACAGAATATAGCTTAGTACTTAGGAAGTGGAGTGTAGGTTCAAATAGTCTGACTTTAAATCCCTGCTTCACCATATCCTAAATGACCCTGGGAAAGTAACTTGATCTCTAGGTCTCAGTCTTATCAGTCTTATCATCTGTAAAATGGAAACAACTCGCATTTGTCCTTTACTCTGTATCATAGTATTTCAACTTTGGCACCATTGACATTTGGGGACAGATAATTCCTTGCTGCCCAGGGGCTGACGTGTGCATTGTAGAATGTTGAGCAGCATCTCAGCCTCTACACACTAGAAGCAGTAGTCCTGCATCCCTCAGTTGTGAGAATTTAAACTGTTTTTAGACATTGCTAAATGTTTCCTGGGAGGCAAAATTGTCCCTGGTTGAGAACTGCTACTCTAAATAGCAAATGAGAAACTTATAAAGCACATGCATAGCACATGCATAGCACATTGTGGTTATGACCTGCCTTCAGATCCATCTCCTTCATTTGCAGGTTGGATGACCTCAGAAAAGCCACTTAAACTCTCCGAGCATCATTTCTTCATTTCAAAGTGAGTATCGTCAGCCCTACTGGGTCTATCTCATTGAACAATTGAAAAAAATCAAAGGAAGGCTCTGATATAAAAATGCCATGTAAGCCATTGAGTACTATCTGTAGCTGTTATGACACACTGTTACTGCCTGGTGAATAGTTTGGTAAGGAGGCTGCATGGCTAGACCTCCCCTCTAATGTTCAAAGGGATCTACAACATCGAAGTGCTCAATACATTTTAGCTTCTGTTGTTATTGTCTCTATTCTATGGTGAAGAACTTGAGACTCGGGAAGGTAAAGGAACTTGCCCAATATTGCACAGCATGGTGCATGGAGATGGAATTTAATTCAGACCATGTAATTCCAAAGTTGGTGCTATTTTAATGTATTTTTTTGCTTCCCAGTGAACACAAATGCCATTATTAGAAATGAAAGCAGCCCCTTCTGTTAGCAAAGGGAGTAGCCATTTATAAGAAAGATGTCCGTCTTTTGGTAAGGGTTGGAAAAAGCACTACGGGACAACTGAGAATAAGATAATTTAGATATTTTTCTCCTGACTTTAATTCAGAAAAGAGGTATCCTCAGGGACTTGAAGATAGCTGAAAATGAAAGGGCAGAGCCAACCCCACCTCCATGCTGTGAATCATTCATTCACCTAAAGGGTTGAGTTGTACCTTCCACATGTGAGCTATTTTAGTTTTAACTTTGCAAGCCTTGGTTATTCCAGCTTCCTAGGGAAAACCCGTCTGGCGCTTGCAGCCTCGCTGGAGCCCTGGCTGTCGCTGTGGACACCAGCAGTCAGAAGGTAAATACTGAGGATACTGCTCCTCTTAGCCGGCTACCCTAATGGCAAGTTCCAGATCTCTAAAATTCTACGGTCTGAGCTCAATAGCAACTATCTCACCCGCTGCTTCCAAATGTACTCAGTTCAGTTGCCCTCTAGAGAGAATTTCTCCCTCTGGGTCTTGCCTGGCTTTGGAAATTGCATTGAGCCAAGGGTGCCTTCTTGAACTCCTAATCTGGGGCTACATGATAATTGGAAGAGCAGCCTGCCCAGGGTGTCGCATTACATCCAACCATGCCCCTCTTCTCTCCTAAGTGCCCTCAGGACACAGAATTCCAGGATTCCAGGTAGTTGAGGGGGAATGCAGCATATGAAGCTGAGCAGCAGCCAGAAGATAAGTGGATTCTAAGTCCCCTCCTTAACCACCAGTCTCAGTTCCAGCAGAGATGCAGCCACACGGAAAAAGAGAAATGTTTAGTTAGCTTGGGTACAGTGCCTTCCAGGAGGATGGATGCTTGACAAAGTCCCAAGTCCAAATCTTCAGCCTTGGAGTTGGAGAAACCTGGGTTTGGGATGTACCAGCTGTCTGACCTTCTACTAATCCTTATGAAACATTAGCTTTTTCATTTTCTTTTTTTCCAGATGATAAAATATGTTCAAAAGAAGAGAAATTTAACCTCCAACTCTCTGTACAATCAGGTAATACTATTGTACTCAGTTGAGCTGAGAGGCATGGTGCATCACCCAGCACAGGGCACAGTAAGTGTTTGGCTTTTTTTCTTTTCTCTCTCTCTCTCTGTCTTTTTTTTTTTTTTTTGACAGGGTCTTGCTGTCTCACTCAGGCTGGAATGTAGTGGTATGAGCAAGCTTACTGCAGCTTTGATCTCCTGGTAGATCGAAGGTGCTGCGCACCACCACACCCAGCTAATTGTTTTGATTTTTAGTAGAGATGAGGTCTCACTACATTGCCCAGGCTGGTATTGAACTCCTGAGCTCACGTCATCCTCCCACCTCAGCCTCCCAAAATATCCAGATTACAGGTGAGCCACTGTGCCTGGTCAGCAGGTGATGTTTTGAGTCCTTCCTATAATAACTCTTTGTTGAGCACCAACTACTTGCTATTGTCCTGGGCCCGGCCCCAAGATGGTCATTACTGTGCACACTGTAATGCAGCAAGTATGGAATTTGCAACCAACACCCAGATCTTCCGATAGTTCCTCTTCTTACCAGCATGCAATGCTAGGCAAGTCATTTTCCTTCTCTGCATCTCCATCTCCTCGCCTGAAACAAAGAGAGAAGATTTACAACACTCATTGAGATTATACACGTCATGCAGTCCTGGCACAAGATATGAGTTAATGAATTCATTATTTCCTTCTTCCTTTCCACACGTCTGCATCAGTTATGTGTGCTAAGTACTCCAGACAACTCAGAGATGAGAACTTTTGAAACTATTCTGATCTAGTGCAAATGTTCTGGGGATGGCGATGATCTGGCGAAATCCTGATACAGAGTAAATCAGGTTGGAGAGAGATTTTTTTAAAAGACATTGCAATTGCTTAGGTGAGGAAGACAGAGGCTTCAGAGGAATCGAAGATGACTCCTAGGTTTCTGGTTCGAACAACTGGGAAGAGGTTGGTGTCAAATGCTATGGAAGAATTCTCTTTTCCTCCTGTCTTAGTCAGTTTGGGCTACCATAAAAAACACTGTCAAAATTTATTTTCTCACAATTCTGGAGCTTGAAAGTCCATCAAGGTGTCAACATTATTGGTTTCTGGGTGAGGGCTTTCCTGTCTTGCAGACAGCCGCCTGCTCCCTGTGTGCTCATATAGCCTTTCCTTGGTGCTTATCCCTGGGAGAGAGTGAGCAAACTCTCTGGTGTCTCTTATTAAAAGAGCTTTAATTCCATTGGACCAGGACTCCACCCTCATGACCTCACCTCATCCTAATCACCTTCAAAGGCTGTGTCTCCAAATACCATCAACTATGGATTAGAACTTCCACAAATGAGTTTTGAGAGAACACAAACATTTGATTCGTAACACCTCCTGATTAATAAGAGAGAAATAATGATGCCAGGTATCCTAGTCATCTTCCTATTCCAATGGCTTTGAGCCTCTTTGATTATTTCAGGAGGGGGCTTGCAAGCACATCTGTCTATGTTCATTTATCTTTACTTCCATAGGAAAGATAAAGGGTAAGAGGAGCCTCGGTAGGTGAGTTAGGGCTAAGTTATGAGTTCATAGTGCAGACTTTTTCTGACATAAGCATAACAAACTAGATTCCTAAGGATCCAATAGATGTGAGGCTTTGAACTAGAAACTGGAATGTCAGCTGAATCAGAGGCACCCTTACCCTCAAGGATCTCACTAGTTTGCAAATACATGGAGGATTTTCTCAGGAAATTAGCTGTTTGGGCTCTGGTCTTGGGTCATGAACATCTTCCCTATGAATATGAAGGTCCTTAAGTGTGACTCCGTCACTCTCCTGTCTGGGACTTCTTCAGGCAGGGGATGGTCTGTTTACCTGACCCCTAAGTGGCTTGTTAGGATGAATCATGTTCCAATTCTCTAAGAGGGTTTATGTGTTGGAAAGAATATTTTCTTTGATCTCATGGCTTAGAGTGCATAGGCTTTGTCCAGTTAATCATGTAGCTGGCATCAGGCTTTGCCAGTTTTTATTTCTTTGGGGCTTTACGGCATTTAAAGGGTTGGAGACTGGCCCTGTAGCCAACATGGTTTTGACTTCAACAGCAACTGAATCTTTTCTCCAGCTCTTTGATAAAAATTGATTAGTTTAGAAGTCCAAGCAAAGGTGGGACCTTCTAAAGTGGCCTCAGATCTAAGGGGTGATTGAAGGAGTGAGTCTTTAATAAGGGCACACTCTCTCCTCTCCTCTCCTGAGTCATTCCCACATGGTTAAAAGAGCTATCCCAATAAATCTGATTTTGCCTTAGTGCTTTCCATTTACAAAGTACATTCATTCCACTATCACTTTAACCTCTCAAATCAGCCTTGAAAGGTAGAAAGAGCAAGGCAAATGGGCTAAATCTTGCAACAGAGAAATTCTAACATTCATTAAATGATGTGCTCAATGTCTCATGGCGTAGGAGTTGTGAGAGGAGCTAACATTTATTGAGGGTCTGCTATGTGACAGTTTCCTTGTAAACCCTAACTTATATAGTCTACAACTAACCCTGGGTAGGGGGTAGATATTATTGTGCCCAGTTGAAAGATGAAGACACTGAGTCATGAGACTTTTAAAGAGCTATTTCAAAACCTCCCAGTCCTTAGATATTAAGCCAACATTGACTTTCTAGTCGTCTGAGAGTCAGTCTGTTATGCTGTTTAAACTCCTCATGCCTGACTTTAAGAAGATAATAGTACACTATTTATGCTTAGTCAAATCTGGGGTAAGACATGCTGTAAAAGGAAAAGAGGCCCATTTTCCCTCTTTACAGAGAGATCTGGAAATTTGCTTTCCTTTACATATGAAATGAAAGAAGACACGGAGACATGGCCCAGCTGCTGCGTGTGCTTCCCTCAGAAGTCTGAGCCGAGATTCCCTAAGCTTGACTGCACCGCTCAAGACCACAGGCCAGGGCAGCAGCCCCTCTGTGAAAAAAGCCACCTTTCAGCCAGCTTGTTCATTTTCTTCTTCTTGCACAGTCTGTGGTCTGGCAAGAAGCAGGGGGGCCTCAACAACAAAGCCCTCACAACAGCAATCCTCCTCAGTTCCCACTCTGAGTGAACCCAGCTCAACTTCTCAGGCTAACAGAAATTTTCATCCAAATGAACTGACAGAGAATTTGCTAAGTCCAAGAACACACAGTCTCAAGGTCACTGGACAGGAAGGGAAGCCTCTAAAAGCCGAAAGAATGAGGTAAAAGCTTTCCCCTCAGCAGGCTCTGGCCTCCCTGCCTGACACTTCCTCCTGGGCTCTGTGAGTGTTTGCCCAGGGTTATTGGCGATGTCATCGGGTGTCAGCTGATTGACAATGAAAGGGAGAGGAGCTAGAGCTACTGCAGGCCAGGAGCGCACATGCTGGATCTCGTCTCATTTCCATCTAACTCCTATGTGAAGTGGACTGTTGCAGACCCTTTCCCACAGTTGAGGAAACAGGCTCTAAAATGTGCAGTACTTCATCTAAGGTAACTGGCTAAACTTGCATTTGAACCTGTATTTGGTTAGCTGCCTAACCTGCGCTCCTTCTACCACCCCACATTGTCCATAGACACACACACATAGCACTTTCTAAGGCTCCAAATACTTATCCCATTCTATTATCAGGCAGGGCCATTTAGATCCAACTCTTTTTTCTCCAGTAGAAATGAGCAGTTTAAAGGCAGTGACCTTCTTGCTAACCCTTCATCCTTCACCAGCACCATCAAGAGGGTTTGCAAATAGTAGGTGCCCAATAATTGCTCATTTTTACAAAATTCAACATTTAAATGCACACATACCCTGTAGTTGGTTCTGCCCAAAGACCAAACCCACTGGCCATGGGTAGCGCTTTGTTTTACCCCAAGTTGTCTGATTCCCCCCAGGATAGGTAGTGGGTAGATTTTCTACCTATCCTCTCAGGTAGAGGGACTATCATTTAAGCAGTGAACTTTTCTATTCTAACAAAGCTCTAATCAGAGGTGGAAAGGGAAGCTTGGTTATCTGGGGCAGGTTATATAGGTCAGTGAGTGATTCTTTGGACTCCACAAATTCCCAAATCCATGTTTCAGGCTCTGTTTTCAATCTTCAAGCATTGTAGGCATCTCCTGGGGGCTATGAGAAGAATGCTCTAATTTCAGGACAGAGTGGAGCCTAGAGCCAACTTGGCAAGGGCCAGAGGAATATAAATTCAGAGTGACAACTTAAGGAACATGGTTTTAATAGAAACATACTTTTATTTCTTCTCCGATCATATGCCGACTGTCTGTGTGCATGGGGAGCCCCAGGCTCAAATGAAAGTTGTCAGAATTGGTAATTCAGGGGCTCTGCTTTCCCCCAAAAGCTCCCTGGTCCTCCAAATGACAACTGTGAGAGATTGCTTGGATGCTTGGGGACTTTGTGAAGTCAACATTATAGAGCAGCTAGAGCAAATGTAGGTATGATTTGCATATGCCATGGGCAGGGGTGGGGGTAGGAATTCTGGCACAATTCATTAAAGAAAATGTTAAGAAATCCCTGGACTGTTGGATACATAAGAAGAGGCAAGGTTTTAAAGGTGAGCGAGACATCTTCTCAAGGAGCTTGTTTGATGGAGAAGACAGAGGTGTGAAGACTGTACTTGAAGTTGGTTAAGGGGTACAAAATACATTAGATAGAAGGAATAAGTTCTAGTATTTGATAGTACAATAGGGAAATGAAAGTTAGCAATAATTTATTGTATATTTCAAAATAGCTAAGAGAGAACAACTGTAATGGTCCCAACACAAAGAAAAGATAGATGTTTAAGGTGATGGATATCCCAGTTAGCCTGATTTGACTGTTATACATTGGATACATGTATCGATATATCACATGTATCCCCAAAATATATATACCTATGATGCATTAATTTTTTTAAGCCCCATAATTATAATTCTTAGATATTGTAATAAGAGAGTAAACACAAATAATGAACTCAATTTAGTAGAAACCAAACATAATAATAACATAAGATGTGATATGGTTTCAAACTGTTCTCAGGCAATTGGTCCAACTTCTCATTTTAACACTTGCATGTATTATGTACTCCTTAAGGTTTGGGAAGAAGCCCTTGTAGAAATGTCATTGAATTTTTATTGGAATAAGATAAAGAAAAAGAAATAAAAATAAAAGTTAAAATTAGAGTGGTGTATTAGAATGTCAGGTACTTCTGTGTGTGTGAAAAGCAGTACAGCCTAAGGGTTAAGAACAAAGGCTCTGGAGCCAGGCTACTGGGTTCAGATTCAACCAATTGCTTAGTTTCTCTGTGTCTCAGTCTCCTCATCTGTGAAAAGGAGAAAATGATGGTGTCTGCCTCATAGGTTACTATAAGGATGAAATAAGTTGATAAAAGTAAAGCACTCCTAAATGCTATGTGGAACCTAGATTGGATCTTGGAACCAAAAGAGAACATTGATGAAAAACTCATAAATTCTAAATAAAACATACAGCTTAATTTTTTTTTTTTTTTAAAAAAACAGTGATCCTGCATTAGAAGTATTGCCTGTGTTACAAAATACTCACTGGGTATGAGATGGGAGGTGGAGAGAAGTCAGCTCCATAGAGAATGCCTAGAAAGGCTGACGAGGAGTTTGCTGGGTGAACACAGGAAGATGGAGGCCTAAAAAAAAGAACAGTGTTTAGGGAATTCACATAACATAATTTGACTGGGACCAAGATTGTTTTTCCAGATGTGAAGGAGAAGCAGGAAATGTCCTTGGAGAATTAGATGGAGTTTAGATCATGCATGGCTTTGTACTCTACACCAAGCTCAAACTGTCTCCTGTGGCAACCACATTGGAGTGATGCGGTCAGAGGTGCACAGCAGAACAGTGACCTTGGCTGCAGCATGGTAGAAGAAAGAGACTGGGATCCAGGAGACAGAAAGACCAGGAATAGAGCTGATATGGTCATTCAGGTGGGAAGTGATCAGCACCTGACCAGGACAGGACAGCAGGGCTGAAGGAACAGGAAGCACGAGGCAGAGAGCTAAGAGGTGTCCTTGGGAGATTGCTGTGATGCCACCCTGCAAGGAGGTCACCAATTGCCTGCCAGAGACCTTTGCAGGGTACTGGGGCCTCAGGGTGAATTACTCCCCTTATTTTGAGATGCTTTAGTAAAGAGAGATGCAGAGTTTCAGGAAGACATGGATCCTCATGTACATACAGGGGTTTACTCTTTACAGGGCTCCTTCAGGTGCGTCATCTTGTTGGTCATTACAGCAGTCCTGAGAGGCACACATTATCATTATTCAAAACTGTGCTTTTCTTTTACTGATTATAGATAGTATAGAAACAATCATTGTACAATGCTTGAAATACTTTTTAAAAAGGAGTAGAAAATTAGAATTGCCCTAGTACCCTGATTGAAAATTACTGTTAATATGTTGATAAACCAGTTGCTTATAGCAGATAGCAAGTGAAAAAATACAAAATTATATTTCAAATCCAATTATATAATAACAGGTTATATGTTTTAGCATTTTTCTATAGTTACAAAATTGGGATTGAAATATAAGTGCTTTATATTCTTGTTTCTGTTTTGGCATGAGATTATAAGCATTTTCTGTGTCAATAAATCAAATTCACAAGCCCAATTTTCATTGCTGCATAATATTACAATGTAAAGGTATGCTATACTTTAGTAATACTATTATCTACTGATAGATATTGATGGACATTAAGTTTTTTCCAGTTTTTGCACTCATAAATAATGCCTTCCTGAATATACTTTAACATATGTTTCACCCATGTGTTTCTAATTACTTCCTTAGAATACATTCCTAGAAGCAAAATTTCTGGGTCGAAAGATATGCACATTTTAAAACTTGATGCTTCCTGAAATTATTTATTCCAAGTGACCATGCCTACTCACAGTGAATGAGCCAACTTGTATTACCCGTCTTCATCAGTACTGAACATTATTTTTCAAAAAATATTTGTCAATCTGATAAGCATAAAACTATGTCTCATTATTGGGTTAATTTGTGTGTTCTCATCACTGCAGTGGTTTAATTCTCATACTCATTTTATTGAGTGATTTGCCCACACCAGAGATTCAGTAGGTGGCTGAGAGTGGACTGCAAGCCAGTCCAAGTGGTCTCCTCAGGCAGTGCTCTTCCTACTATGTAATATGTAAAGAGTTGCCTGGATTTCTCTGTGTTTACAGCATTGTTCTCTGGGTTCCCTTTCATCGGGGCCACACCCTCAGGAACTCACTGCCCTGGGTATCAAGGAAAGTACCCTTTCTCCTGAGAGATAGCAGCTCCTTCAGCTTCTCAGAGGACCCGGCAGTGGGGAGAGTTCATGCGTGCTCTGGGTGGAGGCCATGGGTATGGCATGTGCTTGGGCGACTGGTCCTTCCCCACAGAACCCCATATGGAAAAAGGACACAACAAGGAAATAAACCCTGTGTTCTTCCTAGAAGGAAAGCCTGGCCTGTCACTTTTCTGCTGAAACCCTTGTCATGGTCTCCTTGCCAATATCAGAATCTGGTCCAGGCTCTGTCATCTGGCACTCGAGGCTCTGAGAACCTGACCTGGCCTATATTACCTTAGTGTCCATGTGATGGTCTCACGCCAGCCGCGCTGACTTGCATTGCATATTTTCCTAGGATCTACCTATTTCTTGTCTTTCAGGCCTCCGCTTCAAAGATACCTTCAAGAACCTGTCTGTCTTTTCCATGTTCTGAGCTTGCCCATGTAAAATCCTCACCTTGGGTGAGATTGGCTCTTTTGTATGGCTGCCTCTTTTCTCAAGGGAAGGGGGCTTGTTTTCCTTTTCCCTGAGCCCTGGCAGGGAGATTGCACACTTGAAAGGTTCCTAGACTGAATGGATGTTGGAAGCCCCACAGAGAACCTACAGGATTCTATCTGAGAATCCTGTGACCACAGAGTCCTTCGTTCACACAAGAAGTACTAATGGAAGGACTGCAATGAGCCGGTTACCGTTAGGCACAAGCAATGGAATAGGCACTCCCCATTTCAGTACTTCAGTGTTCATATCTCCAGCAGCTGCAAATGTTGGTGGTTCTCAGCTGGGTTCCTCTCTGGAAATGTCCCCAGTGAAAGAGAACACCTAGCTCAAGGTTTTACCTCTCTACATGGCCAGCCTTCCTCGAAGACAGGTTGTTGGGAAGGTGTTGGTAGAAGCTTGACTCTCTTATCTCAATTTGGAGCAACTCTGAAGGGCTATCACCAGCTCTAGATCTCTCCACAGGACCAGTTGAGTTCTTTGTGTCCAGTGCATTGCAGCTGGAATTCTCTATCTCCCCAATCCTGTTCCTGCCATCTTCCCATTGGAGTTGATCCCAGATACCCTCCCCAGTAAACTTCTTGTGTGCAAATTTCCATGCCAGAGTCTGATTGCTGAGGAACCCAGCCTGCCATGATGGCAATAAGAGATATGACACCTGTTATCATAGAGCTTCAGGGCCAGCTTTGTCCATCATAACTACCTTTGTTTGTCCCCTAGGACAAGCAAAAACTATCCAGCCCCAGTAGGGCTGTGCTCTTGGTGACACTTGGCAATGTCCTGAGCAAAGACCTTTGTAGCTACATCACTCCATGCAACCATCATTAAGGCAAGAGCAGGATCAACTTTGTAGCTGACAATCACTCATATTAGTTCCATAAACCTATTATTGAGTGTCCTCTGTCTCCCTGTGCTGGTGCCAGAGATAGAGATACCTAAGATATGGCTCTGGATTTCCAGGACCATCTCATGGAGGGGAAAATGAACAAGTTATCAGACAATTGAAAACATATGGGACAATTCAAGTTCTGCAGAGTGCTATGGAAGCTCAGAAGAGATGGTGGTGGCTTACTCAGAGGAGATGGTCATGGCTTAATCAGGGGGTCAGGGAAGGATTCTCAGAGAGACAGAGGAAGGAGAATATGGTGGGGGCAGTGTTGATGGGAAAGAAAAGAGAATAGGTATTTCAGATTGAAGAAATGTGTATATGAAAGAATGAATAGGGGTGAGTGAACAAGCACATTTGTATCCATTACTTTATTTGCACTCTGCAACACCCTAATGTGGTTGTCTGCAAACATCCTTATCCTCATTTTTTGAACAGAGAAACTGAGACCCTGGGAGGATAAACAACATGTGTGCAGGAAGGGGGTTATCTGTGACCTGAACCTGTATCTTCTGACTGATTCAGAGCCAAATCAGTGGCTCTGTATGTCACACCATTCAGCCAACATGGACTGAGTTTTTCTCCCACACCTGGCATGGTGCCCAGTGAGGACTAAAAGCAGTATAATATCAATGGTCAGCTCTTGAAGAGCTTGAATTCAAGATAAATTTTTAAAAAATTGATAATGTCAAGGGACAAATGCTGAAATGAAGGCCCAGGCAAATGCCCTGGAATCATGGCAGAGGTATGTCCCAAAAAATGTCCTTAGCCCTGTTTAATATTTGGTACCAATGATTTAGACAAAGACATATAAAGTCCGCTTATCACATCTGTGGTTGGCACATAGCTGGGAGGGATAGAAAATATGATTGATGTCAAAATCAAACTTTTAAATGATCTCAGTTGTCTGGAACCATGAATCAAACACTAAGATGAAGTGCAGCAAGGGTTCACAGTGGGCCAGAAATGTCTTCCAAATAATCAATTGCTCAAGAATAGGAGAGGGGAACCTGGCTTAGCCTCTGGCCATAAGAGAGATTAGAGACTTCACCAGGCCTCAAACCAAACTTGCATCAAGTATTTGAATTAAATGTGTCTTGAACTCCTCACCTCGTGATCCACCCACCTCGACCTCCCAAAGTGCTGGTATTACAGGCGTGAGCCACCGAGCCTGGCCAAGATGGTGAAACCCTGTCTCTACTAAAACTAAAATTAGCCAGGTGCAGTGGCAGGCACCTGTAATCCCAACTATTCAGGAGGCTGAGGCAGAGAATCACCTGAACCCAGCGGCAGAAGTTGCAGTGAGTTGAGATCACGCCACTGCACTCCAACCTGGGTGACAGAGTGAGACTTTGTCTGAAAAAAAAAAAAAAAAGTGTCACAAACTAGCATATCCTGAGTCTATGTGACAATTATATTCATAGTCATTGCATATATTTAATAGGACATTTTATGAATTACCTTGGAGATGGTTTAATGGGACATTTTGTGAGTCATGTTGGAGATGGAGTGATGGTAGAGGGACAGCATCTTCAGATGAAGGAGGAAGATGCTTATAAATCTCTTTAACCAGGCAGTTCTCTCAGTGCACCTACCACATGCCAGGCCTGTGCCGGGTCTTGGACAACATGGAATATCAGCCTAGGAAGCCCTAGGACCTTGCAGAAGGACTTATGCATAAACTCTTGTGTGCCTCTGGGAAAGTCATGGAGGCTTGCTAGGCATCATTTTCCTTATTTATAAAATGGATGCTATAATTTCAATCTCATAGGACCTTGTGAGTAATAATGAATGCGATCATGAATGTAGAATGATGAGCACAGAGCTTGGCCTGAAGCTTGTATTTTAAAAAGGTGCTTACTGTTAATATCCAGATAAATCCAGAGACATCTATACATAGACAGCAAGGATGCAGGACCTGTGGACTTGGATTTAGGATCAGGCCTTCCGTCTTCAGGTGGGTTCAGGAAAGGCTGATTTTTC